AATACATATATATATATGTGTGTGTGTGTGTGTGTGTGTGTGTGTGTGTGTGTGTGTGTGTGTATGTATGTTTGTATGTATGTATGATGAATAAATAAAATACATTAAATGAGGAGAGCTGATCATAATACAATAAGGCAAAAAATGGATTATTTTCTTTTTCTCTAGATGTTTTTTATTCACTTTTATAATAAAATAAATCATGTGTGTAATTATTTAAGGAATACTAACATTTACTTTCTGTAATTGTTTTCCTTGGTTTTGTTTATCGTTGATTTTCATAGTTAGATTACTAACTTGCATCAATATGATTTTCAGTACCCAAATAATATAAAGGTTAAAGTATAAAAGTTAAAGATAAAGGCCAAAATAATCGTACCTGCGACGACAAATATTTTGTTTTTTAAATAAATAGTTTCTGGATCCCGTCGGTTTTCTGTCAAGAGAAGCAGATCTCCGCAAAAATTGTGGTGTTTGTCGCATTTCCTGTCTTGATGTGACGTTTTCTAGATTGTGTGATAATCGTCGCTTGACCATTGTCTCCTTTCATCGTTTGAAAATATTATAATTAGACAATTTAATAATAATATTAGTGATTTTATTATAGATCTTTAAATGAAACTTACCTGCACAGAGTAGTTTAGTGGTAAGAGAGAATATAGAATATAGTTCGGTTGTAATTATTATTTAATTAATAATTAACACATTGTTAATTAATTAAATATTATATATATTTTTTCAATGTTTTTATTTCTAAAGCTCTATAGACGTAAATTTTCATGAAAATACGATTATAGTTTTTAAGCAATATAGTAGCAATATATTAAAAAATACATATTTTTTAAATTGCAAAGATAATTTATTTTACCATATTATTATATGCACTTTTAATTAATATTTTTCTTATCGAAAAATATACAAGTTACTGTTGCATCAAATTATATAAGATTTAAAACGTAGGCTATTACTTATAATATTACATGAAATAAAAATAAAATGTTATACTATCGTTCCGCCGCGTTTCATAATGCAAACTGATAAAAAATATTTGGATGACATACTTTATCTCATCGAGCTTAATATTAGTAATAGTGAATCACATATATCATGATAAGAATCATATTTATTGTGATAAGATAAACATTAAAAATCTTTCATTTAAAATTTTTATAATGAAATTCACATTTAAATTAAAGCCATTTATTTCAAATAATGCAGTCCAATAATTTATTTATAAAAATGATAAAATAAAAATAAATATTTTTTTCTTCTTTATTCAAAAAACTTTATTTAAAAGTGTTTTAACAAATATTTAATTAAATTAATATCAAGATTTTTATTAATGAAAGTATCAAATGAATAAGAAAAGTAAAAGGATTTAAATACACGAACGATATTCTGTTTTGTTATCTCATGATTTCTTAGCTGAGTAAAATACAATCTAAATAAAGAACAGCACTGGAAAGTAAACGCGTTATTTGTAAAACGCGTCATTACCATTACTTTTTTTGGTAATAGATTAGTAACGATGTTATTTTTTTTTTTTAATAACTGCAACCAGTCGTGAAAATCCGTAATTATTATTTTTGAGGATGAATCGTATCTTAGCTGGTAGTATGTATAACGGAACAAATTTCCAAACTTGATTATCTCGAAAACTAAGCCGAAAATGAAAAAAATTGTATTCTTTATATTTTTCTTATTTTTTTCATAAGGGATCACCTCCCGCTCGCTTGTTACATGTTATTCGGAAACACCCTGTATATACATTACAATATATGAATATATATTCTCGAATCTTCAATCAACTGATACTCCAAAGAGATGATGGTCTTATTCTCTCGATAAATGCAGGTTGGACTGCAGCGATGACATCCTCCAACGCCAATGACAAATATATCAAAAATCCTCCCGAAGCGCGGCAGAGATTGCACGAGGCATGGCTCGAGCCCCCGAGTAAAAAGGAGGGGTGTGCGTCATGGCGGGAGCCCGACCTTTATTTCAATAAAATAAAGATACCAATATTTTTTTAAGCTCATAAATACAAAAAAGTACTATTATAATATAACTTTTAAGTATTATCTTTTATTATTATGTTTTATTTCTCTTAATATCTCCACCATTAAACAGCGAATTCTAAGTAATTATTTATGGAAACATGTATTTAATAGTCTGTCGTGCGCAGTGGTGCTAATATATTAATACACAATAGCATTACGCCAATATAGTCTTCTAAGTGTGTCAATAATATAACCTCTATTTTAAGAGTTTCGAAGAGAGATATCGAAGTGATCGTTCGATAAGAGTCAATTGTAGCTCTTCTGCTAATTTGTAGTTCACACATTCAGATGTGAATATTTAATATACGAAGTGTGAATACACATTATTTGCTCTGGAGCTGAAAATAATGAATATGTTTATGATTTTTGCGAACAACCTTTATTATAAGATTGTTTAATTCTTTTAAGACAAGACTTTAAAAAGATTGAGAAATTAACAATTCAAGTTAAGTTTAAAAGTTTATCCGTTTTATAGAAAGCGCTCTAATAGTTTATCTATCTTCTGATAAATTAATATCTGCATTAAATATTTATATCTATCTATAAGCCGATTTTAGCTAATTTTTTAATTTTACAAAATCAATAAGTGAGAGTGGGGGTAAATGGAAAATGTAATATTTAAAAAAATTGAATACATCATTACAAAGAGTATAAAATATCATAAAACTTTTGTATAAAATATTTTTTTCATATATCTGATAGCTTAGAAGATATTCGCTGAAAATGAAAAAATCCGAAGGGACTCGCCTTTTAACAATTTACCTTTTTCTATCAAATTCCGATTCGCTACCTTCACTAATGATTTTACTTTTAATCGACTCCTCGCTAGAAGATTCATTCTCACTATCGAAATTTCGACTGGAGCTCTTACGAGAGCCATCATTATTTTTAATCTTCGTCAACTTTCTCTCGCCTTTTGCAACAGATCTTTTGTCCCTTCTTCTTTTATTTTTATGTCTCTCATTGTCAGAAATGTCACGTCTACTTTTTTCTTTCGTGATCTTTTCTTTTCTTCATGTTTATACAATTTGTCATGTTTACTAGAATTGCGAGAGCTCGACGTGGAATATCCAGTATCTTGGCGATTTTTCCTACGATAATTCATTCAATTAAATATATAAATTCATTCAAATAAAATATAATAAAATAAAATATAATAAAATAATAATGCAATATTTTTGTAGACATAACGCATTAATCATTTTCATTTCTCGAATACTTAAAGATTCATAATATTTTTTAATAAAATTCTTCTTAAAATTTTCTATAAATTAAATAATATTAAAGAACATGGGTAAAATAGATCGACCAGGAATTAAAAATTAAAATATTTCGTAAATTTTAATTTCTAAATCTGAAATATCAAAATATTTAAATATATTTTTCACATATTTGTCCCTTTTTATAAATAATTAATAATTTTATTTCTTTCTATAATTCTAATAATTTAAATAAATTTTAAACAACACAAAGTCTAAAATTGCGATTTAAGATATCTTAAGAATTTACAAGAGATAGATATTTTTGCTAAAAGGAGAATATAATTTAGTATGACATAAGTGAGTAAAAAATTAGATTACTTAATCCAATTTAAAATAAAAGAAAAAATTTTGTAGAAATAATTTATAATAGTGAAAAACAAATATTTAATTTTATAAAATTGCTTTTTTTAATAATTTTATAATTTCTTGCATTTAAAAGCTTAAAAATAATTAAAGTTAATTTAAAAATAATGAAAGTGCCAAGTACCGTTTAGAACGAGAGACACTTTTTGGAGACAAATCGAACTTATCGATATTTTCTCTTGAGTCTTCGATCTCGCTGTAATTTGCTTCTATGTCCTTATCACATCGGTTTTTATATCTCTTGTAATCTCGCAAATTTCTCATTTTTATGTCATTGTCATCTCGGGAAATAATACTGATATTCGACACATTCATTTTTTTGTTATATTTTTTGTTCTGTTTATTCTTGCTTTCACTTTTCACTACGTAAAGTCGGTACCATTGTAATAGTATCACGAGCGTATTTTTGCATGTAAAGAATATGTTCATGTAACTAACTATTTGATAATGAATTATCAATATTAAACGAAATGCCAGAAACGGCCCATCCTGCAAAAGAATGAATATATATTAAATTAAACAAACTAGTTCAAAGATTTATGAAAAATAGAAAAAGGCATTTTTAGATTTATCGTGATTTGCCACAATTTACCATCATGATTATGTTTATCATTATTTTATCAAAAGCGTTTTATTTTAAAACACTTTTGAACATCAATTATTATAAAGTATTAAATAAAAAAAGATAATTTACAACATAATTGACAGCTATAAAATAATGTTTCATATTTTTCACACTACTTTTATGATATTTTATGTATGCTGTTTAATTCCTTACTTAATCCTACCTCGATATCATTTGTTAATATTCAAAGAATTCTGAGGACATAACAGCTTTATCTACACATAAGCAGTGTACTATTAGGAATCAGATACTTTGTATATATTATTTATTATTTAATACTTAATAATAATAAAGTGCATTAAGTAAATAAATAAGATGAATAACAAAAAGATGTTCGAAAGAATTTATAGGTATTTCTAACGTCTTTTAGATATATATTCAATATATATTCATATGTATTCAATAATACTTATCAAATTATGAGCATACTTGAAGAATCATATTCAAAGCGATTCCCCATACATCAATGCTGCAGCAACTGGTTTCTGTTCGAATTTTTTTCCTTGCGACGCTGCCGGATGATAATCGGGACTTTCTCGACTTAGTGGCAGTCAGCACGACTGTAAATTGCATCAAGGACCATGCCCAAATGCCCAGTGTTAGATATACAAGTACAGGTTCTCTTGCTATCCTATCTTCTTTAAAGGAATCGAAGAACTCGATGATGTCGGCTGCAGTACCAATGTAGACTAACAACAGTTGACTTAATTGGTCGCGAGTCAAATCACCTTTCGGTAACATCCATCGACCAATTATTAAAATCAGCATTAAGAATTGCTCAATCAGAGTGACCCACGTTTCTGTGGAAATCTGTATATCCGGTAATTGAATATCAACCTATTTGATGAAAAAAAAATAAGCTATATTTCAATTAATGAATTTAAATAGAATTGCCATTCATTAGCTCTACTTTTTATTATAAAATTATACACATGTACATACATAAACATATACGCTTATTATTATTACTATTATTATTATTATTATTATTATTATTATTATTAAAAGTCGCAATTTTTTAACATGTCTCCCCAGCGCTTAGCAATACTGTCAATAGATCAAGTTAAAAAATCAAGAGGAACATTGGTGACTAAGGAAACAATATCAAAAGAAATTAGTATATAATCATTGGCTACATGCGTGTCAGATAATTTTTTGATAAATTGAAAATTATTCTCAATATGACTCTAAGATTTTGGGATACTGTTTGAAAAGAGTTCGTTCAGGAAGGATGCTAAATTATATAAAGGACTATTGAGGAAATAATTATTCGAAGGGAACACTCTTGTTTATCTTCTTTGTATCTTGGGGAATCTTAATAAGCTTTGGGGAGAATCACAAAGAAGATGCTCATATGTTTCGGATATATAGAGTGTTTGAGATCACTCGCATCACATCCCTTTTATCTCAGAAAGAGCATTTAAAAAAAAAAACGTTTCAGACAAAAGTTATATGGCTTCTAGGTATACATAAGATAATGTCACTAAATTGATTTTTCCAAATGGATCCCCTATTTTTCAATGCATATTCATTGTGTGTGTGTGTATGTGTTCTCAACCGGTATTCCAGAATGTATATAACATTTACCTCTTCAAACTGCATATCTTTTGTTTTGGAAAATTTTTTTGCATTATTAAAAATCACGGAAATATCTTCGAATATTTCGGAATCGTCACATTAGATAAGACATTTCGAATAAAGATTATATATACTCACTTTTTATCAAGTTTTATAAAAAAGATAATAATAAAAATGGTACGCACGCCTAAAGCCTCTTCTAAATGTTTTAAATCTCCAGCTGCCAGATTGGATAAGTCAAAATTTTCGGATATATTAATATTCGATCCACGAGATTTCAATCTCTTATCTACTTTATCCAGTTCTAACAACCAGATTGCTGGTACCACGCTACTAAGATATAAAAATACAGATGGGCAAAACCTAGAAATATAATAGTCATGATAAATAATAAATTATTTCATTATAATAAATTATTACATTAATAATAAATAATCATTAATAATAAATTATTATATTTATTTCAAGTTGTATCAAATCAAAAAACAGATCAAAAAATACATAATCTCATTTTAATCGTTTAAATATCACGCGGCGCGATGGTGGAAGCAATTGCTTTTTATCGCTACTATATTTTTATTGACATGAGGTTGGCTAATTTATACCATAATGTATTCCACTTTATCTTTCTATCGAGCCAAGCTGATTATGATGCATCTCTATTTTATTTATCACAAAAAAGACACATATAAGATTGTTCATACTATGAAAATATAGAAAGATTCTCTTTATTATTTTATTATAGTCTATTGCAACAATTATTTGTGTGAAAATATATAATGCTAAAATTGTGAAAACTGTATTAATAACTCTCGGTCTCCCTTATTTCTTTCATTCGTGTTTTTATTCTGAAATGAATCTTATACTTTTCATATTTTTAATTGTTTAAAACTTATATTATATCGATACTTTGCATCGCACTTATTTTATATCGTACTGTTTATTATAATTTTTCAAAAATGGGTTTTCAAAAATAAATATATGCTGACAGAATATCATACACTACTACTCCAATTCCAAAGTGATCGATGAGTCAGGTAAATCAGGTCACGGTTCGCTTTTTCGCAGATGTCAATAATTTTTTATCTGTCCGCTCACATTTCGAACAAAGTAGATTCTAACACGTCGGCGTGCTCGTATTACTAATGCTTCAATTTCCGTCTGTCAAGTTGACGGTCTCAAAATATATATACTTCTTCCGAAAGATACTTTTGCACTAATCTTTGCACTAACAATATTTTATCTAATGTATATTGACATTACATACATACATACATGCATGCATACATACATACATACATATGTGTGTGTGTGTGTGTGTGTGTGTGTGTGTGTGTATATACTATATATATATATATATATAATATATATTAGTTTGGAAAAATTATTTTTGTTCGAGTCTCTTGATAACTTATAAAATCAAAATTAAAATGCTTTAATAATTTAATTAACAATTATTACAGTATCGCATAGAAAAGTATAGAATATAAAAAATGAAGAAACTTTGTATTTTATATATATTAATATGAATATTACAATAATAAATATTATAATATGAAAATGTATATCGACTACAATACATAGTAGTTTATGCGATTGTTGAAATAAACCATACTTGTAAATTATGAACAATTAATTTTAAAATTTTGTAAATCAAAATCATATTAATATATTAATTATTATATTTGATTTCTCGTATATACTTATATTTAAGTGAAAAAATATAATTAGTTAAAAAATTAAAATATACTTCTATTTGTTCTTTTTAGTCTTTAAAAAGAGATTGGAATTAGTTTCTTCAGATTTCAATATTTTCACACAATCCAACAGAGATATATTACAGTATATTGTCATGATATACATAATTATTATTAATAATTAATATTATCTGTTATACAACATGTTATCCTAATTCAATATAGTAATTATATTGTTTGTTTGAAAATTGAAAGCATAATCTGCAATATATAATTGACATACCATTTCCATTCCTGATTTTCCTTTATAGTGACCGTAAAAATGCCTTCGAAGAACAGCAACAAGATAGGACAGCTCAGATACCAAAAATATGGATTTTTCTTGAAAGTTGTTACCTGCCAGATAGCGATGAAACCATGCGATGCAAATACTAAACGCGTAATTATTGCCTTAATTGTTGCCAAAAATTTTGCCATAACCAGTAATTATAATTCTTCTTGTTATTCACGTGTATTATGATAAATAAATAAATAAAAAAAAAACTGTAATTTCTTGTATCACTCACACATTAAATGCATATAACGTATACATTCGCTATTCAAACGTAAACACGTTTCTATGTTCAAAAAGAAATAAAAAATAATACTTGCTATTACATACAAGTAAAATTATGAAGGAGTATTTATGAGAGAGTAATCGAGAAAGATACAGCGTCGAAGCACAACTCGCTAAAGAATAGTACAAACTATCTATAGTTCGTAATACGCACATGCGCCCATCATTTGGAATAAAAGGCATGGCCTTTTCTTAGATTTTCTTTTTCTACTAATTCAAATTATAAAAAAGATCTATACGGAATATTTTATATGTTTCGCTCTAGTAATTGTTGACAACATTTGGCAATAGAATTATTATAAGAACTTTACAATTTAAATAATACCTTTTATTATTTGTTATTATTATTTATATTACCTTTGTTTTGTATTTATTAATTTACATATATGTAATTACGATTAAATTTTATTTAAATTGTTAAGTTCTTTTTTTGTCTTCTATAAAGTTTTTAAGACTATAAAATAGTATAAAATACATAACTCATGAAAAATATAATGGGATTAATATATATAAGCAGGCTGATGATGAATTTGGAACGGTGTTCATAGTGCTGCTAGCGCTGACAATCAATTTTGAAACACAGCCAATATATATAGCGTAATTTCAGCAATGTGTGCCTTGGTTATCTACGTACTATTACATAAACTATATTGTAAACATATATTGTAAAAGAAATATATTTTGAATAAAAAGCTTATAAACTATTAATTATTAAGAAATTAATATATCGTTTCAATCGAGAATAAAAATTAGTTCATTTATTTTTATTCATAAAATGAGAAAAAACAATATAAAATATTCAAATTATGGATTGTGTACTAATTTCGAATTGGACTTTCTTATGAAATTAATTAAAAATAATTAAAAATATTAATAAAATAATAAACTAAACTAAATAATATATTTTTTAATATTTTTGTAATTATTATAGCATAAAATTTTTCGTTTTTTTTTAAATATTTACGAAAAAGTAAAAAAATGGATTTTTAAAGAAATAACTTTTTCTTCAATAATTCTCTGAAATTATATAGAGTGCATAATGGATTGTATTAAATACACCATCATACCTTGTAAAATAGAAAGTAAGTTTGAATATTATTGATACAAAGATTACTTAATATTGAACAAAAATAGAAAATATTCCAATCTGTAACTGGTATATATAAACATTTTTAAATTCTGCAATTCATAATTGATTTAATAATTAATAAAAGCATAATTATTCTCTTTAAAATTATGATATTCACTGCTTATATTAAATAAAAACATTTTTTTAAATTTTGATTATAAACATGCACTAATAAATAAAAGTTTTAACTTTATATTGAAACTATCATCTTTTTTTCTTTAGAACATTTATATATTTAAAATTTGAATCATATTCAGTATTGTTATTTATTACAGTTTTTCAATTTTTAACATTAAATATCTCTATAATTAATATCAAAAGCAGATATACTAGCCACTTTATAATTTGTAATTCTTCTTTTAATTTATAATAGTTTACATTGTTTATACTATTTATATAAAAAATATCCGTGCAAACATAACATAGACAATCCATAATATATCCTTGTAAGCATAACCTTAAAATTATAACTTATAATTATAGAGTATAATTTTAGAGTATAAATTATAATTTATATTCTAAAATTTCTATTAATAAGTAGATTTTACTAAACAAAATTTAAATCACATAGTTCGGACTTTCTTTAAGTAATTTAAGGCTCAATTATAAATATAGAGCGCTCTCTCTCTCTCTCCTCCTTCCTTCCCTTTCTCTCTTCCTTTTTTGCTTTCTTTGCTTCTTTCTTTCCTTCCTCTCCTTCCTCTTTCTCTTTCCCTCCTTTGTTCCTCTTTCTTTAAATCTTCATTAAATAGAACTCAAGCCTAAACTGATTTAAATGTGTATTGAAAGTAGAATTTAAATTCTTATTATATGAGATCAAGATTTTAATATTATTGTCTTGTCAAGACTACACATAACACAGAACAGATATATAAATAAAAAAGAAAAAATAGAAAATATTCAGTAGTTTTATATTTTTAGTATTTGCATCAAATTAATAAACTATAGATTGATAAATCGTATAGTTCTTTTTTAATTCCACAATTTATATATTCACGATTTAACTTTTGTAAAAAATATATTGCATCGTGATTATACACATGATAAAAATATATTTAACAGGAGACACAAAACTAAATTCTTGGTAGCAAATAAATTTCTACAAACCTTAAGGTATGTCATATTATGTTCTTCTTGTAATATTATCAATAACATATATACACAGATTACAAGCATTGAAATCAATTTGCATCAATTTTTAAAGTCTGTATCAGACTAGATTAAAATTAAGATTGAATTAGAATTTAACCAATCTAAACAAAATTCAGATTAAACTTGAGATGGTTTTCTTTTTTTTGATTAAGTTTCAATTTAATCTCAATTTTAATCTTTAGTCTGATAGGCACAAGATAAATGAGATATTTTATTTGTTTCAGTTGCTTCCTTACTCTATTTTTCATTCTATCTTATTTTATAAATAACATGTTGCTCTATTCACTGTCAATATACAAGGATAGCTATAATATCTTATAGCTATCCTTGTATAAGGCAGTAATTGAAAAAAACCAATTATTTCATTTTATCTTAAATTATCAACTTCGTACTAGTTAAAACATAGAAATATTTATGTATATGCAGTCTATGTATATATGTATGTTGCACATTATTTATAATAATAAAGAAATAGAAAATACAAAGAGAAAGAAAGAGCAAAAGAATAATAAAGCCTCTTTTTTGCTTTCTCAAATGTACTGAGAGATAGAGCATGAGAAAAATTATTTTGACTTCAAGCTATAGATGGGTGTTGGTAATGTTGGAGGAATTGTTGGCGTACAAGTAGGAGTAGAGGTTTCACCTACAATAGTATTGGTGGAATTACTTATTTCACTTTTATAACGAATGTTGGTGTATTCTCTGCCCAACTGAAGTGATTTCTATAAAAAAATAAATCAGTATGAGATAGATCTAGATCTTTATACAGCTATTTTTTATAATATCATTGTATGATATTAAAACTCGGTTTTCTCGAGTTAACTCAGATATGTCATAGGTGAGAAATGATATACAATAATTTCTTTGTGACAAATAACTTTATTTTTTAGTTTTCCCTCAAAAACATAATAATTTTGTAATCATGAAACTTATAAAATGTATAGGAAATTAAAATATCTCTATCCGATTTTATATAAAAAAAGTATAAAATAATTCTTAAAATAACGAGTCATTTTTCAGCTATTCTTAAGCGACCATAACAGCTGATTATGGCTGAAATATATAATCTGTTATTTTAGGGATTATTTTCTTTCACTTCTATATGATAGATGAGGCAAATATTTCAATTTTCCCCATATTTTACAAATTTCAAAATTACGAAATTATTATGTTTTTAGGAAAAATCAAAAAGCAATTCGTCACAAAGAAATTACTACACATCATTTTTCACCTATGACATTATGTCAATATGACTGCAACAAGAGAACTGAGCCTAAAATTCAGTACCTGTTCTGCTTGCATCCGTTGAGATACAGTTTCGATATAGTGTAGAACAGCGAGATAGACAAATTTATATTGTGCCTCTGTCTGAACCATTCCAGATCTTTGTGAACGTACTCGCTGTATTGTACGTTGAATATCAATTTCACAATCTAATCCTAAAGAATTACATTATGTATTATTAATATATTATTTATATATTATATAATATAGTATTATATATTATATATTATTTATATATTATATAATTATATTATATTATATTATATAATTATATTATATTATATAATAGTATTAATAAAAGTAAGTTAATAAAAATATCATTTTATGATAAAGTGTAAAAAATAAATTATTATTATTACAATTATCACAGTATTTAATCATATTATACATAAAATATATGAGCAATTTTAATTATGTTTAATCATTTATTAACTGTTACTATCCTTACCATGACATTTAATTTGATCCAAAATCATATCAATAACAATAAATGTACCAGTTCTACCAATTCCAGCACTACAATGAACGAGAATTGGTCCTATAGATGGTACATCCTGATTGCTGTGATCTTTTGATGCCTGATCTTTTGATGCTGTGATCAGAGATGCTTCAATCGATTCCTGTCTGGCATTTACATCATGCAAAAAGTTCAATACACAACCAGGATCTGATGGAACACCATGATCAGGCCATGCCTAATAATTAAATATACAATTTAGGTCTATTCTTATTATATACAATTATACATATCCAATTCATTAAACGAAGTATATGTCAATTAATTTAATCAACATTTGTTAATAAAATATCACTTGTATAATACAATATATTTCTAATTTATTCAATAATTATTTAGTATTTTTATAGATAAGTATTTAATAAGTAAGATAAGTATTTTTAAAAATAGCCAATCTTGCAAAAACAAATTTTAATATTTACTCCAGATTCAAAAAAAATACAACAGGATTTGAAAACAACAAAAGTATGATAACAGAAAGATGACAGAAAGCAAGCAGGATTTGTTGTTCCAATATATTTAAATAGAACATATTGCAGATTTTCTTGCTCATTTCTACCATTAATCTGCTGTTCAGAATCTGTCAGCAA